TTGGTGTCCATATGTTTGTTCTCTACATCTGTGTCTCTATTTCTGCCCTGCACATTCAATCCCCTCTTGCCATCTGCTTCTGGGAGGACCTGGACTCACACAGGGGAGATAATACCTCATGGTGAGGACCAAAGGCAACAATGTAATTTCCTTTTGTTCCCATTAAAAGGAAAGCATGAAGACTTTTAAAAATTCTTTTTCTTTAAAAATTTTTAAAAATATACATTCCAATTACTTTAGCCCACAAAAGGATCTCTGCCTTCTAATTCTTGTAAAACCATTTTCCATGTAGCTCATTTGTCACATATCATGCATTGCTTTGCCTTGTTATTTAATCCAGTAGGTGATACGTTCAGGAAAATTAGGATCCATGTCTTTATCTTCTCGCATTTCCTTCTCAGAACCTAGCCCAGTGCTACATAAGTAGGAGGTGCTCAATAAATACACGCTGATGCTTCAGTGCATCTCGATATCCTTATGTGAGGACTCTCTGGTCCTCTTGTAGCCTCCATCTGTTCCTCCCTCAGTCCCTTGCCTTCATGCAGCATGCTTCACAGACAGATTCCTAGTATGATGAGGCCTAACCCCTTTCCAGATTTCCCTTGCTGCTGCTCCCCCTGTAGTATAGAGTCGGTCCTATACTGTTGCCTCAAGGGTTGCCTTCTCCCCAAATCTGCCACAGGACACCAAGCTTTATTGCTCTCTGCTTCTATTGAAGCAGAACGGTAAACTTTTCTGATAAAGCAGTTTTAAATATTTCACAAGGTATTTAATCGTGCACACCTTTATGTCTAATTTCTCAGGGTAAAGCAAAGCTGATTAGGTATTTTCTAGGTTCCTTAATTACCTTTCCATTTTTTCCCCCACTTTCTAGCAGGTTTACTAGCTGATCTACTGGCTAGATCACAAAGCAACCAAGATTGTGTTGATTAGTTATTGGGAAGTGGGAAAAATTAATCCTAGTTCAAGTTAACATTTTTGGAATACCTATTGTGTACACAAACCATAGGTGTGATGGAAAATTCAAAAGTGAACAAGGTAAAAAAGCTTGTGTTCTGGGGGAAGGGAGGGCAAACATATGCCCAAATAATTATAGTGTTGATTGAATATAGTAAGTACATAATAATAGAAGTATAAAAGAAAGTGCTTTCTAAGAAAGACAAGAGGGAAGTAGGTTCAGAGTTAAACTATCAGGGAAGTCTTCACGAAGGACTTGGCCCTGAAGGAGAAAGGCAGAAAGAACACGTGGTTGTAGCTTTACTCATCTGTTTTCAAATTATTATTCTAGTAAAATTTTCTATAAAGATCTTCTTTCACTTATAAAAAGGCATGTTAGAAGACTACTAGGTAATTACCACACTTTTGTTTACTAGGTAATTGATCTATTGATTGTTTCTTGATTAATAATGACCTTGTCTTCTTGTATTAGTTCCTGGACATAGCCCTTTAAATTAGTATCATGCATTAAGTATGGTAAACATGTTTGATAAAAAATTAGATAATAATAAAGGATGGCTGATTTCTATAGGCTATGCACTACTTCTAATGCAATTTAAGATATGCTTTATCTTATCTATGCTTTTTAGGCAGCCTGGATTTTAAAAGCACGAGCACTAACTGAAATGGTGTACATAGATGAAATTGATGTAGATCAGGAAGGAATTGCAGAAATGATACTGGATGAAAATGCTATTGCTCAGGTTCCACGTAAGTACTGGTTTTTCAGTTAAGTAAATGAAAAGCCATTAGGAGGAGGAATACTCTCTATGTGTACTTTTTTATAATAAAAATAAGACACATACATGAAGCACGTGTATGCATGAAAAAATATTACCTCTATTCTGCCTTATAGTACAAAGGCACAATTATATTATCTTGAACTTAAGGTGTGAGATTGATGTATAACTATTTTTCAGTAGAAGCTATATTATGCATTTTAAAATATTTTATGAAAAGGCATTCTATCTGAGCTGCTTATCTAATATACCAAAGATTGTTTATCTGAGAGTCTAAACACAGGAAGCATCCAAACAACAGAAGTGTTCTAAAAAAATGATAATTTGAAAACATCACTTCATTGTAATAATCGATGATTTGCTCTAATGCATGATGTGAGGTGATGGAGTGATTTGCTAGGCAGTGACTGTCCATCAGGATTGTCACAGTGGCCTAGTCCCAGCTTGCAGGTGTGCTGCTGTGAATGGTATTGGATGATTACCATGACGTATGGTATCTTGCTGGTAATTTGTTAGTTGTGACAGTTATCAGTCATTTATATATGTTTGGAAGGTAATAGCTGTTTCAATGCTTCAGTGGAAATTGAGAAAAAAAGTACATATGTTTCATGTTAAGATGTCTTTTTTCCCTATCATTTTGCTCTTTTGGAGTTAAAATATCTAAATTCCAAATATTGGGGGTAACTGATCTTTTATTGGGAGAAGAAGTTTGTATGAAAAATAAACTATGAGTATAGAACTGTCATTTTGATGTGTTGGATTTTTGGAACCCGCCTGTCTTGAGTTTGAATGCTGGCTCTACTAACAGGTTGACCTGTTTATTTAAATCTCTAAGCCTTTGCTAAATGGGTTAGTACTACCTACCTTGCAGAATTAGTGTGGAGATTAAATGTAATAACAAAAGTAACATGACAGGTACTCAATAAATATTAATCTCAAACACATTTTTCTAGATACATTTCCTGTTACTAATGTCTTTTTCACCAGGCTAGCACATTTGTGAAAATTGCGTTAGTGGACAGTTTTTACAGATCAATAAATAATATACAAATTGAATTTGCCATCTCATCTTATAGGTCCTGGAACATCTCTGAAACTCCCTGGAACTAATCAGACAGGAGGGCCTAGTCCAGCTGTCAGGTATGTTCAGTATACTCCTGTTTCATTTCCTTTGCCACTAAATATTGACCAGGCTGCATGAGAATCTTCCTTTATTGATCTTCTTTGTATTTTAACAATTTACAATCTTCACAGGCCGATCACTCAAGCTGGAAGACCCATTACAGGTTTCCTTAGACCCAGCACACAAAGTGGAAGGCCAGGCACTATGGAACAGGCCATCAGAACACCCAGAACTGCCTACACAGCTCGCCCTATTACCAGCTCATCTGGAAGATTTGTCAGGCTGGGAACGGTAAATTCTGTCAGCTTTACCATAGCCTTGTATGACCAAAGTAATTTATGTTATGTTAATCATTTTTCACTATTTTTATAGTAGACAATTATATGGAAAATTTACTTGTGTTGGCTTTATAATTTTATGCACATTAAATTCAATTTGTGTTTCGAGAAAGTTTCAGATTTCTTGTTCTATCATTTTTCCCCATAGGCTTCCATGCTTACAAGTCCTGATGGACCTTTTATAAATTTATCTAGACTGAATTTAACAAAATATGCCCAGAAACCTAAATTGGCAAAGGTATGTACTTCAAATTATTTTATGTTATGAAGTAATGTTCAAAATGTTATCATAACATTACAGGAAATGGATAAAAATCTGTGAAGAAAAGACCTTGTCTTGATTGAAATGGAAATGTTTAATTATTCTCATATCTAAAATTTCTCTTAGTATTGAGTTAAGGAAAGTCAATCAGAAATAAAGCATATATACCATTATAATAGGAAATTCTTTTTCTCCTAATAAAGAACAGCAATTTATAACAAAGAAAGCAGATGTTACCCATTACCCACCATCTTTGGGTAATGAAGTTTAGGAGATCATCTGTATGTGTGTATATTTTTCTTTTTCAGCTTGGACTGTTCTCAGAAAAATAATTTTCTATCCTTGTAGGATTTTAGAACTGTCAAAAAGAAGATAAAAAAATGTTCTCTTTCTAATTAGTAATTAATCTGGCATCTCAATAAAGATTGCTTGAGCCAGACAGCAGCAAGCCAACTGCATTAGTACTTCTAACTATTAAATGCTCCTCTAAATTAAAGAGAAAGTGAGAGCAAGAGAAAAAGTGATAAGAGAGTGAGAAGGGAGAGGGAGAGGGAGAGAAAGGAGGATGTTCGTGACCTTTCCAGTACAGAAAAGTTTAGAGGTGAGCATGGAATAATGCAGAGCCAGGAGCAGTTAGCTTCTGGAAATTGGTGTAAGCCTAGCTCAGGTTTTTAGCTGTAATCTCTATGAATTCTGTGCATGAGTGCTGAGCTCATTCCTATTATCAGTTCTACTGGCGTTTAACATATTTAGTAAATATTAAACACTCTAGGGAAAATGAAAAAGGACACTAGCCATACAGACTTGAAATTTAAATCAGGGAAAGGAATGCCAGTTGGCAAACAAGGAATCAGACTATAAGAATGCCAATGATGTTTTTCTTTTTCTTTTTTTTTTTTAAAGTTTATTTATTTATTTACTTTTGGCTGTGTTGGGTCTTCATTTCTGTGCGAGGGCTTTCTCTAGTTGTGGTGAGCGGGGGTCACTCTTCATCGCAGTGCGCGGGCCTCTCACTGTCGTGGCCTCTCTTGTTGCAGAGCACAGGCTCCAGACGCGCAGGCTCAGTAGTTGTGGCTCACAGGCCCAGTTGCTCCGCGGCATGTGGGATCTTCCCAGACCAGGGCTTGAACCCGTGTCCCCTGCATTGGCAGGCAGATTCTCAACCACTGTGCCACCAGGGAAGCCCCCCCAATGATGTTTTTCTTAATTTCTTATTTGATAGCAACCCAGTCAACTTCATTTAGCAAAATCATAAAGTTTTACTTATTTCCCTTTCCTTTATGAGGAATATCTGATTCCTTATCTTTTTAGGCCATTTATTTGAGGTGGCTGAATGGCTACTTAATACCATTGTTGTTTTCTAACCAGGGAGTGTAGTCAGTAGAGGCATTTCCCTCAAATTAGGATGCTTCCAGGACAGACCTGGTCTATGTTACTAGATTTAGATGAACTAGATTTTGCACTTATTTAGTGTGTTGTAGAAATAATGCCAGGTTTCTCTGTCTTTGGTCCCCAACTTACCTTGACTTATCTGGACTCATTTCTAATATTGGCATATTGCTTGGGGTGGCTGGTGACTCCTTGACACTGCCTTGGGTGTTATAACATCCTTTTCATGGCAGTGGTAACACCAACTGCTCTCATAATTTTTTTTTTTTTTTTAATAAGAGAACAAATGGAGGATTAGGAATAGTTTTCTAAAGAGGGCCTCATCCTGATTTCTTTTTTTGGTTGCCTTCAGGTCATCTCTGTTAATAATCTTGATATCTTTCAGGGGTGCTAGCCTCTTTGCAAGTATAAAATAATGGTGTTATGGACAAATGTAGTACCACCAAGAGGTAGTCTGGTAAATGCTTATTTATCCAGATAGGTTGGGGGCAGTATTAGAATAATGATTCTCAGCCCTGGCTGCACATAGAGGCATCTGCATATTAAGGAAAAACTCCCTACTTTACAGTTAAACTCTACTTTGTTTCAGAAAGAACTTCCAGATTTTCCCATGTCTAAAGTGTCATTATTAATATCATAATCACTGTATAATACATGCAGTTTTATGACAGTCCTAAAGTTGGTCTTTTCATTTGTCTCTTTCTGATAAAATAGTATGTGTAATATGAAAAAAATTGTTGAATTATTTGAGCTTTCCAGTTCGTATTCTGTGAAAACAGGAATCAGTTATAAGTAGCCTTATTTTAAAATGAATGGTTGTAACAAATGATGGATAGACCCTTTACTTATAAATCCCAGGCACTTTACAGTACTTTGTTATTTTGGTTCAATTTAGCTGCTGTCAAAATGGCCTTTGAGGGCTTCCCTGGTGGCGCCGTGGTTGAGAGTCCGCCTGCTGATGCAGGGGACACGGGTTCATGCCCCAGTCCGGGAAGATCCCACACACTGCGGAGCGGCTGGGCCTGTGAGCCATGGCCGCTGAGCCTGCGCATCCAGAGCCTGTGCTCTGCAATGGGAGAGGCCACGACAGTGAGAGGCCCGCGTACCGCAAAAAAACCAAAAAAACCCCCCCAAAAACAAAAAAAAATGGCCTTTGAGTTTTGATATGACAATAAAGTACTTTGTTAAAATAAAATCTAATGTATTTTTTTGCATTTTTTTCTTCACAGGCTTTGTTCGAGTATATCTTTCATCATGAAAATGATGTTAAGACTGTAAGTTTTGAATTTGCACTATTTTTAATGTGATTTTTATGACTTTGGGGATTTAGATTCTGAAATGTTCTATTTCTTACCTTATAAACAGATGGAATTATGAAGATTGGAGAATTACTGATACTTTCAAATCCACTGTCAGTTTCAGTAGGAAACTTTGTATAACTATAGAAGTCATAAGACTTGTGCCTGATCTATAGACTAGTAGATCTCCACTAAAGGGCAAGATATAGATAATGGAGAATGCTGCGTAATATGTTTGTGTTAAAGTTTATTTTTTATACTAATAGTTAGCATTGTTGATCCATTTTCTTCTTTGGTCCATATAGTGATTATAGGTTTACTAATACATGTATTTCTGGTCTCTTTGTAGTGTTCCCCATCTCCTCCCCTTTAACATTTTATGATAGAAAATTTCAAACATGTGCAAGTGGAGAGTATAATGAGCCTGTATCAACCATCACCCAGCTTCAACAATAATCAATAATCAGTCGTCTTGGTAGCCTTTCAACAGAGAATTTTAAGGTTACATGCTCAGGACTTCTCCATTTGTGTCATTTTTCAACATGCTAATATGCAAATGAGCAGTAACTTCACAAATCTTGTCCAATCAAATGTAGTTAATTCTACAGTGTCTAATGATAGTATTTTCTGTCATTTTCTTATTCAAGGAAAAAACCTTATATATTAAGTATTCAGGAAGACAAAAGCATTTTTCTCAATTGTGTTTTCTATGTGTCAACCATTATGTTATGTACTAGGAAAACTAATAAAAATATGATATTTGTTCCTGCCTCTACAAGCCATGTAATCTAGCTGAGGAAATAGAATTGACATAATGAAACAGTTAAAAAGGTAATTGCCGGAATGTGAAATTGGTACTGAAGATCAAGGGGAAAAATCAGGGGATAATATTAGTAAAAATCCATAAAATCAGTAGGATTTTTTGGAATGGATGGGAAAAAATGTAAAAGAAGGGTAAAAACATGAGCAAGGTACGGAAAGAGAAATAAATAAACCACATTCTCAAAAATGGGGGTGTCAGAGACATTTTAGAGAAAGAAGTGACAGAACGTGATCTAGATTTGGTATGGGAGACAAAGGAAAGACACAGCTCAAACTTGCCTCTTAAAGATGCTGGAAGAATGACCGTTTTACTAACAGAAATGGGATTATTAAGGAAGGACGTCAGTTTGTAAAGAAGCTGAATAATTCACTAGAAGGCATTTTTAGTTTGAAATTGTGAAAGGCTATCCAAGTGGAGATGTCACTGCATGTATTGGAAGCTGTGACACTAAAATATAGGGGTCCTGGGCCAGATACACAGAGTATGGGAGTTATCGATAATGAAGTGATAGTGGATGTGGTCACATCGAGAAAAGAGAAAACTAAGGTTGGGGCAACTGAGAAACCATGCACATTTCTGTAAATAAAAGTCAGTAATGCCATTTTCACTCAATATATAGCTGGTCAGAGGGTTTCAGGGTGATATATAAAATCATGTAGTTACACTGTCATTAAAAAGAAACATTCAAATACCATCCCATTTTATAAATGAGTAAATATTTGTAATTACTAGAGTATCATAAAGCTATATCCTGACTTTTTGAAGATTAATTCATTTATTGCAGAGACATTTATTCTTTCATCCAACATATTTTGAGCCACTACAGTGTGCCAGGCACTGTTCTAGGCCCTGAGATTACAGAGTGGAGCAAGCAGACAAAATCTCTGCTCTTTTGGAGATTACGTTCCGGTTGGGCAAGGAATAGAGACAGTTAGCAAACTTAAAAATATATAAAATGTCATGGGATAAGCAGTATAAAAATAAAGCAGGGAAACCAGGTAAGAGAATAGATGACATGGGGGAAGTTTGTCCTTTTATATGGGCTGGGAAGTGGTCAGTGAAGTCCACTCTGAAAAGACATTTAAACAGAGACCTGTATGAAGGGAGACAAACCATATGGTTAGGTGGAGGAAGAGCACGTAAATCAGAGAGAACTTTAACTGCGAAGGCCCTGAATATTAGCATTCTTGGATTGTTTAAGGAACAGTGAGGAGGCCACTGTGGCTGGAGTGAGGTCTTTGAAGGGGAAGAGTTGTAGTCAATGGGTTCAGAAAGTTGACAGATCATATGCTGTTTATAGGTCATAGTGATGATGTCTTTATTCATCTTGAAGATGTTGTTCTGCATCTTGGCATTTACATAATTTTGTTGAGGAATGTTGTTTCTTCAGCTACATTGAAAAAATAGAATTTGTTCTATGGAAAACTGTATTTCTGCCTTTGAGTTCTTAATAACTTCCTTCCTCTCCCTTCTTGGGGCAGTATTGGCAATGTTGACAAACTGAAGGGGCGTGTGGGTTGGTGATTCTGGAATCTTTATTTCCATATGCTCTTTAATTTCGTCATGCTGAAGTTGTCGCAACTCTAACAATAGTGAAAGGATGACTGTTTTTTAAACTTTAGAGGTTGGAGCACTATTACTTAGGAAGGTCACTGGGATGCCCAGGTGGATGTATTCACAAACATGTTGTCGAGATCTGCCAAGGTTCCCTTATGGACTTTTATAAACTTACGCCTTTTATTTATGACCTTCTAGGTCTTTATTAATATCTAGATATTGGATTGATTGACTTATTCAAAGATCCTTAAATATAAGTATATAGTAATTTATTTTAAAAAACCGGGGAAGACTTTAAAGAAATATAGCTCTCTGTAACCTCTTTAAAATTTTAAAATGTTAATAGCTTTTAATTATGAATCTTATTACTATGACAGTTTTGTTTGGTTCTTAAGTTATTTTCAACGTAAGTCAGAAGTAAAGAATAGAATTAATTCAGTCAACAAATAATTCTTGAGGGCCTCTTAACCGCACAATGACATTGCAGAGCAACAGAGATGTGTTAAGAAGTGGATGCCTGTCCTCGGGGAATTTAGAGTCCATTTGAAATAGTGACAAGTGGTTTTGTCTAGTGCAGCCCCAGTCTTCAAATGAAGAGTGATCATTAATATGTAATTTTTTTGGCCATTTTTATTCTACATCAGTAATCATATTAATTTCCTCAATTGGTTTAGACAAACTTGTGGGTCCTACATAGGAACCATATCTGAAAGCAAAATCAGCAGCCTGTAATCAGCACTAGGTCTAATCTTGGAAAAATTAGAAGGCGTAAAAAAAATTTAGAATGACATTTTTCTGAAAAATAGAAGGTCTGTTATATTAAACATGAAAGTGAATCTGATCTATTCGCTGGAACAGGTCTTTTAAAGGATTAAGTTAAAATGAATATATTCGGATATTTACAATTTACTCCTGAACTGAGCTGATTGAAATATGGTTCTCTGGTATTTCCAGAGATAATGATAATTGAAATTATACTTTTTTTCTGCATTTTTCACTTCCATTTTTACCTCTTGCTTGGGGAAAAAAAGAAAAATAAGCATATGAACATAGTGTGTAGTGTGCTTTTAATTTCCATAGCTTTCAAGTAGAGGTGTTGATTTTTCAAGTCCATTAGAACCTCAGCATGGTGACACCATTCCTTTATAAATAGTTTGCATATTTAGAAGTCTCCCCTGGAGCGAGGGAAGATGGGGAACACAAGGAAAGTTATTTATTTTGCAGTAGGAGATTCAAGGAGCTCTTCTGGCATTCATTTCAGAAAAGCGTTAATATTAAGAAATGGGCAATAATATGGGATGCATTCTGAGATTATAGAACTGAAAATCTAAGAGTTACTTTAACTGAGCTGTTGGATATCATCATGATGTTAACACTGACTAAAGAATAAAAGGTTTTCAACCTTAAGAGCAAGAATAACAAGTATTATTAAAAAATCGGAATTCTTTTTAAACTAATAACCTGAGTTTTTATTCACCAAATCTTTATATGAGCTTCAGATTTCTGTGAGCTTTGAATTTGTATAAAGATTGATTTACTTTCCTCTTTGTCCAAATGGTTTCCACTTTTTTGGTATAGAATCCTAATTCCTAATGAGATGTCTCTTGTCTGATCTTAAATAATCACTAGAAGGAACAAACTAGAAGACGTTAGAGAGAAAGGGATAAACACATGTAAAATGCAAAAGCAGTTAAGAAGATCCTTTTCAGTCTGCAGCGAAGGAAAGTCTGACCTTTAGAATTACTGGCATGCGAGGTAATGTCAGAATAATGGAATGATGGTTGTTAAAAGACGGCGGTTACCCAAGTACCCCAGCTCCTTTCACTCTTCTTCATGACCCTGTTTTCAAACCTTTTTCTATCTGCATACTTGATCTTTCTTTATTTCTCTACACCTGTTGTTAAAGTGGGGCCTGCAGTTGGGCCTGCCTTACGTGGTAAAGGCTTGACTCCTACTGGGTTTGGAGGCATTTTGGTTGGGAGAGGGTAAAAACTGACGGATTTTTAAATACCATTTTCGTACCTTGTATATTAAAATTGTATTCAAATAGACTGTACATCTGCTTCCCTTTGATCACTGTTTACTTCTCATCTGCTGTCAGTCCTCTGGTCTGGAACTGATTATTTAGGGAAGATTGGTGGGGCCATCTGGAGACATGAGCAGCTTGAGTTTCTGTCTGATTTCTAATGCATGTTTTGATTGATGCTAATTATATAGTTTATTTCATTATTTTTTGTTTCTGTTTATTGTTAGAAAAGAAAATCCTTATCTAAAATGAATTGTTTTTCAAAGGCTTTGGATTTGGCTGCCCTCTCCACAGAGCATTCTCAGTACAAGGACTGGTGGTGGAAAGTGCAGATTGGAAAATGTTACTACAGGTAAAATTTTGATTATTTGGAAAAGGCTTAGAAGCAGCAACATATTTTAGAGTCTCAAATCTGGTAACCTTTTCTGGGGGATAGATTTCCTCACGAAGAAAGGAGAACTGTGTCTTTGGCTTACGTGAGGAAGCATTTACTTAGCAATCACATGATGGCACTAAGAACTGACACCTTTAGAATAGTAAAATTTTAGAGCTGGGAAGGGGAAACTTTGAGACCATCACATCCAACACTCCTTTTCAGATGAGGAAGCTGAGGCCAGAGAGAGGTTGTGATTTGCATCAGGAACTAGTCAGTAACAGACCTAGGACTAGAATCGAGTCTGTTTGTTCTCACTCCACTCCTCTTGGCTCTCAAGTCTTTCCTCCCTCCCTCCCTCCCTCCTTCCTTCCTTCTTAATTTTTATTGGAGTATAGTTGATTTACAATGTCGTGTTAGTTTCAAGTGTGCAGCAAAGTGAATCAGTTATGCATACACATATATCCACTTTTTTTTTTTTTAGATTCTTTCCCCATCAAGTTTTTATTTCTACTGATGCCTCACGTCTGTAAAGTGCTTTATAGTTGAGATAGCTTGTCCACACATTACATTATCTCACTTAAATCTTATGGCACTTTGGATATAGTTGCTATTATTAGCCCTTTGTCCAGATGTGAGAAACTGAGCCTCAGAAAGATAAAGTGACTTTCCGAAATTCATGTAGCTAGTATGTGACAGAACGAGAATTTGAGCTCAGCTTTCTGATGCCACTTCTTTTACTATTTGCACAATCCCATGGTGTTTCTCTAGGATCTAAATAGTCTTACACTAATTTACTTAATGTTTAAACACATTTTTAAGCAAATTAATTGAGAGATAAAAAAAGTTGTAATAATTTATGCATATTATATAGCAACTGGTAAATAGGATCTGAAATGATTGCTTGATATTGAAATGCACTTGGAGCATTTGAAAAATAGTGACAAATGAAAAATTATATTTTATAAAGATAAATATGTCTTTTATTATTCAAAAACAAGGTAGACTAGGTACTGTGAGTATCCTTCGATGGTTATTAACTTTAGTTATTAGTTAAACACTGTGAGGAAAAGGAAATATATAAATAGAATAAAAAGGATGCTTATTCTTCTACTATTGAAATTAAGACTATTTTCCATTTAGATATTTCACATAGAACTCTGAAGTATTTTTTCCTACTGTTAGATTGAGGAAGTATTTTCTGCTAAAAGGTAATTTTGGACAATTATAACATTAAACTCTTATGAATATAATTTCTGAAGACAAGCTTGAAATCTTGAGCTTCTAAGCAAAACTCTCAGAAATCTATAATAATGAGAGAAAAGCACAACTTGGATTCCTTCTGCCATCCATATAAGATGGCATTTAAATGAGTATATTTTGTCATATTAATTATTGTTCTCCTCTGTTCCTTAATAGCTTCTTGTCTTATTATGTATTCAGCATTCATTCATTTATTCATTTGCTCAAATGGCTTACATTTGAGTGGAGGAGAGAGAACAGGAAACAATTATAAATGTGGTTCCCATTATGATAGAAGCAAGTGCAGGGTGCAGTGGGAGCCCAGAGAAAGATGTCAAGGATGGATTGCAGAGGATGTAGCCCCATATTGACTTCTGTCTCTTTGCTCCTGATCATTAAGTTCTACTGGTTCTTCCTCTGCAGTATCTCTTACAGTTGCTCCACTGCTACCCATTCCCACTCCAGTGCTTTAATCCTGGCTTTTAGTGTGATTTGTTTGAATTGCTACATTAGGTACTTATCTGGGTTTTCTGCCTCCATTTTCTTGTCCCATCAATCCTTCCTGTATACCCCACTGTCAGAGTAACTGTTGCAAAAAAAACAGCTCTTGTTGGATTCTTTGGTTAATCTCCATTATCTCTGAAATGAAGTCTGGATTTTAAGTGTGGCACCCATGACTTTGTCCCAGTCTACAGCTTTTCACTTTTCTGTTACTTCTCTCATTCCTTGTTGTGTTTTCCTTTTCAATTAAACCCAACAACTCAGCCCTCCCCTGACATGCTGTGTACTTTCCTGCTTGTGTGCTTATGCTGATAGTTTGCTTCCATCAGAGATATTCCCTCACCCCCACCCCATCCTATCTAGCTGTCAAAATCTTGCCTGTTACTTCCCCGCTGAAACTTAGTTTGCTCCTCCGCTGTGCTCTCAAAACACTTTTTTTCTCATTGGCCATAATGCAATTAAATTTATTTTAAAATATGTTTTGTTTCAATCTTTACTGGTACCTTCAGAACATGGTTGTTATCTTCATTTTTGCAACTCCTTACCATCATTAAATGTGCATGCAGTTGATCCTTGACAATGTTTATTGAATTAAATTGGAGAGAACAAGTTGGCAGTTGGTGGAGATCATCTCTGGACTCTGATTCTTTGATATTGTCCTGTGTTTGTGAACTTGACTGATGTTTTCATTATTCCTAGACTTTCTTTACACATGGTGGCCACTCCATTTCCTCTGCACAGGAACCCATGTGATAAATTCCTTTTTGATAGGGCTAGAAGAAATGATCTCTTAAGGGTACAGTAATAAAACACATATGACTCATTCTTCTTTCCTTTCTTTGGTTTCCAGGTGATTCAATAGCTCTGATTGCTTGTTTGCTTTTTAATTTGTTTATTCTCCATTTTTTTTTATAAATCTATTTCTGTTTTCATATTCTTATTTTACATGTATCTTGTTATTGTAATCCCTTTTAAATCATTTTTTGAAAGAGACAACTTAGTTACAAATATAGACTCTCATGGATAATTAGGTGTTCATGGAATTCAGTGACTGAACTTCAGCCACGTGTTTAAGACTTGAATGTTCAGTTGAAGCTTTGTATATAAATATAAAGCCGTTCTTCAGAACTTCAGAGTTCTCTGATAACATTTTATGAATACTCCTTGTAAAAGTTGTGGGACCTTTGAAGCGGTAGGGGCTTCTACTACATCACACATCCTCTAACTTTAGGCCAGATTTTGGGGTCACTTTTAACCTCATTGTCCCACATTGTCCATTGTCCCACGTTCTCCATTGTCCCAAATAGCTGGGTATAGCCATGCCAGTACTTGAGGCTTAGGTTAGGAAAAAAGAACAAAGCTATTCTTTCAAGAATGAAAGTAACATAATGGACCATATTGTATGTTGTTTTGACTTTATTTTACAAAATAAAAGCATTGTCATAAAGTGCTAAGTAGCTCTTAGATGTCTGGGGATGAGTAGTTATGAGAAAGCCCAACAGATCTATTAAAGACAGGCTGAAGTGCGCTTTAATGATTGATTTCATTTCCCTGGGCAGAAGAAGTGCGTGTTGACATCAGAGCAGTTATATTTAGGCAAGGAACAAGTCTGAAGTTCATAGACTAGATACAAAAAAAGGAAAAGAAAATGTTTGTAGAATAATAAAATGGTACAGCTGTTTTACTCGAGTGGCAATTACTATTTACCTCAAAATTGTTTAAAGTTTAAAAATGGGTTTATGCAAAGTCAAAAAATACCTTGAAATAAGTGAAAATGGAAATACAACACACCAAAACTTATGGGATGCAGCAAAAGCGGTCTTAAGAGGGAAGTTCCTAGCAATAAATGCCTACTCAAGAAACAAGAAAATTCTCAGATAAACAACCTAACTTTACTCCTCAAGGAACTAGAAAAAGAAGGCCAAATGAAACCCAGAGTTAGTAGAAAGAAGGAAATAACAAAGATCAGAGCAGAAATAAATGAAATAGAGATTAAAAAGACAGTAGAAAGGATCGATGAAACCAAGAACTAGTTCTTTGAAAAGATAAACAAAATTAACAGAACTTTAGCTAGACTCACCAAGAAGATAGAGTACTCAAATAAATACAATCAGAAATGAAAGAGGAGATGTTACCACTGATACCACAGAAATACAGAGGATCATAAGAGACTACTATGAACAATTATAGGCCACCAAACTGGACAGCCTAGAAGAAATGGATGCATTACTAGAAACATAAAATCTTCCAGGACTGAGTCATAGAAATAGAAAATCTGAACAGACCAAGTACTAGTAAGGAGATTGAATCAGTAATTTAAAAACTCCCTATAAACAAAAATTCAGGACAAGAGAGCTTCACAGGTAAATTCTGCCATTCAAAGAAGAATTAATACCAATCTTTCTCAAACTGTTTCACAAAATGGAAGAGGAGGGAACACTTTTGAACTTATTTTATGGGGCCAGCATTACCCTGATACCTAAACCAAATAAGGACACCACAAGAAAAGAAAATTACAGGCCAATATCACTGATGAACATAGATGCAAAATTCCTCAACAAAATATTAGCACATCAAATTCAACATTACACTAAAAGGATCATAAGAATGATTAAGTGGGATTTATTCCAGGGATGCAGGGATGGTTCAATATATGCAAATCAACCAATGTGATACACCACATTAACGAAATGAAGGATGAAGATCACATGATCATCTCAGTAGATGCAGAAAAAGCATTTGACAAAATTCAACATCCAGTTACGATAAAAATTCCTAACAAAGCGGGTGTAGAGCGAATGTACCTCAATATAGTAAAGGGCGTACATGACAAGCCTGCAGCTAAAGTCATACTCATTGGTGGAAATCTGAAAGATTTTGCTCTAAGATGAGGAATAAGATAAGGATGCCCACTCTCACCATTTTTATTCAACATAGTATTAGAAGTCCTATCCAGAGAAGTTTAGGCAAGAAAAAGAAATAAAAGGCATCCAAATCAGAAAGGAAGAAGTAAAACTGTCTGTTTACAGATGACATGATACTATATATAGAATATCCTAAAGACTCCACCAAAAAACTACTGGCACTAATAAGTGAATTCAGTAAATTTGTAGGATACAAAATGAATATACAGAAATTTGTTGCTTTCTGTACACTAATAACAAACTATCAGAGAAATTAAGAAAACAATCCCAATTACAATAGCATCAAAAAATAAAATAACTTGGAATAAATTTAGCCAAGGAGTTGAGACACCTGTACACCAAAAACTATAAGATATTGATAAAAAAATTGATGAAGGCATAAGTAAATTGAAAGATATTTCACATTCGTGGATTAGAATTATTATTGTTGAAATGTCCATACTACCTGAAGCAATCTACAGATTCAGTGCAATCCCTATCAAAATTACAATGGCATTTTTGAAAGAAATAGAACAAACAATCCTAAAATTTATATGGAACCACAACAGACCCTGAAGAACTAAAACAACCTTGAGAAAGAAAAACAAAGCTGGAGGCATCACATTCCCTGACTTCAAACCAAATTACAAAGCTATAGGGATTGTATAAAGTAGATAACTAATAAGAACCTGCTGCATAAAAAATAAATTAAATTAAAAAAAAAAGTTATAGGGATCAAAACAGTATGCTGTTGGCATAAAAACAGACACATAGATCAATGGAACAGAATACAGGGCCCAGAAATAAACCCATGCACACGTAGTCAATAAATTTACAAAAAGGGACTTCCCTGGTGGCACAGTGGTTAAGAATGCACCTTCCAATGCAGGGGACACGGGTTCGAGCCCTGGTCTGGGAAGATCCCACATGCCGAAGAGCAACAGCCCTTGTGCCACGACTACTGAGACTGCACTCTAGAGCCCATGAGCCTCAACTACTGAGCCTCAATGCCACAACTACTGAAGCCCGCGTGCCTAGAACCTGTGCTCTGCAACAAGAGAAGCCACTGCAATGAGAAGCCCAGGCACCACAACGAAGAGTAGCCCCCTTCACTGCAACTAGAGAAAGCCCGCACGCAGCAACGAAGACCCAATGCAGCCAAAAACTAATTAATTAATTTAAAAAATTTATAAAAAGTCAAGAATGTACAATGGGGAAAGGACAGTCTCTTCAATAAATTGTGTTGGGAAATAGGACAGCCACATGCAAAAGAATGATGGATCACCATCTTACACCATATACAAAACTAACTCAACATGGATTAAAGATTGAATATAAGACCTGAAATCATAAAACTCCTAGAAGAAAACATATGCAGTAAGCTCCTTAACAGTGGTCTTGGTGATGAGTTTTTGGATTTGACACCAAAAGCAAAGGCAACAAAAGCAAAAATAAATAAGTGAGACTTTTTCAAACTAAAAAGCTACTGCACAGCAAAGGAAACCATGAACAAAATGAAAAGGCAACCTACCAAATGGGAAAAAATATTTGCAAATCATATATCCAAAAGGGGTTAACATCTAACATATATAAAAAAACTCATGAAAGTCAATAGTAAAAAAAAAAAAATCCGATTAAAAAATGGGCAGAGGCTCTGAATAGATATTTTTCTGAAGAAGACATTACAGATGGCCAACAGGTACACGAAAGGGTGCTCAACATCACTAATCATCAGGGAAACTCAAACCAAAACCGCAGTGAGATATCACCTTACATTTGTTAGAATGGCTATTATTGAAAAGATGAGAAATAGCAAGTGTTGGTAGTATGTGAAGAAAAAGGAACCCTCATGCACTGTTGGTGGGAATGTAAGTTGGTGCAGCCATATGAGAAACAGTATGGAGCTTCCTCAAAAAATTAAAAATGGAACTACCATATGCTTCAGCAATTCTAGTTCTGGGTATTTATCTGAAGAAAGTGAAAACACTGACTCAAAGAAAAGATATCTACATCACCATGTTCATTGCAGCATTATTTACAATAACCAAGATATGGAAACAATCTAAGTGTCCATCAACAGATGAATGGATAAAGAAATATATATATATGTATATGTATGTGTGTATATATATGTATATATGCAATGGAATATTATTCAGCCATGAAAAAGAATGAAATCTTGCCATTTGCGATGGTATGGATGGACCTTTAGGGCATTATGCTAAGTGAAATAAGTCTCATAGAGAAAGACAAATACTGTATGATCTCACTTATGTGAGGAATCTAAAAAAATAAAATAAAGAACAAAGCTCATAGATACAGAGAACAGATTGGTGGTTGACAGAGCTGGAGGGTAGGGGGTGGGCAAGTGGGTGTAGGGAGTCAAAAGGTACAAACATCCAGTTATAAAATAAACAAGTCATGGGAATGTCACATACAGCATTGCAGCAATAGTTAATCCTGTATTGCATGTTTGAAAGTTGCTAAGAAAGTAAACCTTAAAAGTTCCCATCACAAGAAAAAATTCTGTAACTATATCTATATTCTGTAACTATATTAACAAAATGAAGTGTATATTCTGTAACTATATTAACATATGTATGGTGACGGATATTAATTAGACTTACCGTGATGATCATTTTGCAATATATGCAAATATCAAATTATTACGTGGTACACCTGAAATTAATATAATGTTGTATGTCATTATACCTCACTTTAAAAAAATGGGCTTTTATCTCAAAGCAGATGTTTTCAAAGAAATGTCATCTTCAGTTCTTCCAATAAAATGGAGGCTCTAAGCATTTATTGAGGTCATGTGACATATGTCAGCTGATCATAAGCTCTTTGGGTGGTGAACTGGTGTGACCTTGCTCCCTGGCGGCTATTAGTCCTGCTGTGACTAGGCTTCAGACAAACTCTTTACATACCATTTAAGCATTAGGCAGTGAATATGGGAAAATAGGAATCTTTCTCCTAAACTATATAAACATACATGTTAATATGTATGTGTGTATAGCATCACCTTCTTTGCTACATGCTTACTCTTACAGATGTAATTTGGCTCTAATTCATATCCTCAAGGTATGAATAAATGCTGTAGTATTTATTTTAAATTGAATGTCTAATTTTTTAAATGGCTGTTCTTAGGTTAGGAATGTATCGTGAAGCAGAAAAACAATTTAAATCAACCCTGAAGCAGCAGGAAATGGTAGATACATTTCTCTACTTGGCAAAAGTAAGTATTCTTAATTTGAGTGGAATTTGTCTTCTCTGGGGTAAATGTTTAAATTCTGACAAGTGCGTGGGGAGAGTTACCAGTTTCTTTAGGAATATTTGACAAGTTAATGTGTTCAGACTTAAGTTTGTTGTTGTTGTTTTTCTTTTTTAATAATAAGGGAAAAGGTGAGAACATATGGAGAATACCCATCTCAGGAAAAATTGCTTGCCGTGAAAAATAAGACAACACCTTTGAAATATTGCCCATTAGAACAGAAGAAAATGCCACAGGCTTACTACCCCCATGGGTAACAAGCCCCAGAGAGGCACTTTTCTGCAGCACGCTTGTCTCCCACCTAAGCAGACTATAGAGAGCAGGGATTGTTTTTATATAGGTCCTTCACTTTTTGGCTCTGCCATTATTACAAAAACAATATTTCCCATTTACTGAGCACCTACTCAGTGGTAAGGTATCCTATCAGGTCTGTTCCATATGCAATTTAACCCTCATAGCAACACCACGAGGCAGATTTTAACATTTCCTTTGTACTCTTAAGCAAAGGGAGACCTAAAGAGGGTAACTAAGATTTTCAAGCTCACTTGGCTATTTGCCAGCATTCAAACTCAGGAATTTCTGATTCCAGAGCTGACTCACTGCCCTGTAGTGCCATCCACAAACCACAACAGAAGTGAAGGGCCACCTAGAATTTTCAGTATTGGAATAAAGTTACTTCTTTACCCTCACCGAGGCTACTTTAAAGGAACATTTGTTGAAGTGGTGGTTAGGATATCATCTTGCTATATCTTTAAGACTTTTTTAAATTTAAGAAGTGTGGTTAAAAAAAAAAAAAGTGTGGTAAAGGAGGTTGAAAAGAAGATGAGATGTAAAAGGAAGTGCTACTACTTTCTAAATATGGTATTGCACTAATACGTATAAAATGGATAACTAATAAGAACCTGCTGTATAAAAAAATAAATAAAAGAAAATTCAAAAAAATATGGTATTAACGTTTGCATTCTAAAAAGAAACAAAATGGAAATTCTGCCATATAAACTTACTGTGATAATCTTAGTATGTTTATAGTGGTTTTTCAGAAATATTTGAAACTATCTGGTTCTAAGTATCTTCTATACATTATATGTTAAAATTCTTAAAGAGTTTTCTAAACATCATAGTAAAATTTTCTGACAGCTTGAAATTATAACTCAGGTCACAGTATTTGACTATCATCTTAATTGATAATCACTTGCCACGTGGTTAAAAAATGTACTTTTTAACTATTGTTAAATATGAGTAGTCATATTTAATAGTTCTAATTTGACTATTTTTTCATAAATTTATTTGTTTAAATCCATTGTTGCCTACATGACTATATAGAGGTACAATTTACTTATTTTCTTTAATATGTGAAGGAATTATTGCTCAGTAATAGAGACCAAGCAGATTTTAGGAACCACATTATTTCTTAAAATTTTAGATTGTTAATTTAAAAATTATTAAATATTTTATATTACGTAGTATATGGAATTATATACTTACTATATTTTAAAAAGCAGTTCAGAAGCATGTAAGGTAATAATTGAAAAGTTTTCATCCATACCCTTCCCTCTAATCTCATACTTTAGCAGTAAACACTGCAAGCAGTTTTTTGTGTATCCATTTGGGCCTCTTCAAAGCACAATCTGAATGTTTAGGAAGAAACAGAGGATCCAAGGTCATGAAGAAAAAAATGTCATAATCTTATGTTTCTATACATAAAACTATAATTCTCTTATTTTAGAAATTCCTAATAAGTATATGGTTTATCCACGCTAATGTTCCAGTTGCTAATTAAGCAGAAACTATCAAGTGCCAACCCTCTCAACTCCCTGACCCTGTACCCTACAAATCTGTTTCTCCTCTATTTCCGAGGGTCCTTCTCCCAAACCACCATCTCCAGAGGCTCTCCCCGGCTGCTCCTTCTCAGACCTTCTTCCATGGGTCGTCCCCTCTTTCTCCAGCATCTTCAAAATCAGCCTCATAATTGGTCTTTATAGTGCCAGCCTATAGATATACTTATGTCTGTTCCATCCTAGAAAGATTTTCCCTTGATCCTTTCTTTTCTAGTCCTGGCCAGTCTCTGTGACAATAGTAAGTCCACAGTAAGTGTTTGCTGAATGAATAAATGAATGAATGCTTCATATACAACATGTGGATATAAAAGTATAGTATCATTATTGGAAATTAATCCAACAGATTTCTGAAATTTTTATACTGTAATATCTAGGAGATAATTTGTTACTAAGCAATAATTATAAACTTGTCATAACAAATGCTATTATTTTAAGAACCAGTACTTTTATCGAAATGTATCTTGGTTTTAGGTTTACATCTCATTGGATCAACCTGTGACTGCTTTAAATCTTTTCAAACAAGGCTTAGATAAGTTTCCAGGAGAAGTAGCCCTACTTTGTGGAATTGCCAGGATCTATGAGGTAAGGTTCATATCATTCAAAGAGTTGTTGTAAAATTGAGGTTGTATGCTACTTAAGTAAGGTCATAGTCCCTTGGGGTCTTATAAAGGATAACAGTTTATAAAATTATGATTGTTGGCCTGTGATTTACCAACAGAATAAGAGATTTTAGTGTATGCATTAGTCAAACTAAGTTTTTATTATGAAGTATTTCAAACATATAGAAGGGTATAGAGAATGGTATGAGATAGGGATTTAAATGTTTCTGATTTCAAATATCTTTTAACATAGAACAGTTCAAATAAAGGTCTGCCTTTCAAATGAATAAACAAAAGGCCCCAAGAAAAATTAAAACCACAACCAAATAAAATTAGCAAGGATAAATCATTTTAAACAAGTTTCTGTACAGAACAAGCAATGAACAATAGGCAGCACAACATGTTCATTTAGAAGAAACAAGACCAAAATGAAAGTGATAAATTTTAAAAAAAGAACATAAAGGGAAAGAATCCCAACAGAGAAAAGTATGATAGACATGCAGAAATCCCTTAAGACATATGTTGTGTAGGCTGCAACGCTAAGGAACAAACTTTAGTAATTAACCCTCAATCCATTGTCACATAAGGAGAAAAGGAATACACTGGAAATCTTTGTATGGTAAACTTTATTTGAATTGTTCTATGTTAAAAGGTATTTGGAATGAGAAACATTACCCTAGGAAATATTATTCTTGTGGTCCTTGAACTTTACTGTGAATAGAAGTGACTTTGGGAGTGTTTTGAGAGTGAGGCCCATTTTCTGCCTTCTGAATCAGCTGTCCTGGAAGGTGGGATGTAGATTTTTGTCTGCTTAGCAAGCTCACTAAGTGATTCTGAAGTATAACAGAGTTTGAGGATCATTGCAAAATTCACTTTCTTATTTGCAGTTTTGTTTTAAATAACTAAAAATCTAATTAGAGTTAATATTCTGTGCATTGGTTCAAAAATAACCACTAATAGCTACTATAAAATCACTTAAATGATACCACGGTTGTTTATACACTTGAAGTGACATTTATATGCTTGAAGATATTATTTAAAGGACAAAAATAGAATCTGTGTTTATTCATACATATGAAAATTTATGTGCTAAAGATTGTCTATTAAACCAATTGGATTATTGGATTATTGAATAGTTTAGAAATAGAGCTGGATGAGTAATGATTTCTTATACTAAAAGAACCCATTGCCTCAAAGATTTAAAACCATGAATGTTCCAGAAGAAAATACAGATGAATTATCTGTATAAACTTGGAACGGGGAAGACCCTCCTGAGCATGATAGTAAGTCAGAAAGCCATAACAGAAAAAAATTGATAAATTTGAGAACGTAAAAGTTAACTTTTCTATATTGTAAAAACAAAAATACCAATAAAAGCAAACTCAAACAAAAAAAGGTAAAAATATCAAACAGGGCACATACTTGCCGTACCTGGGACAGAAAAAAGGGCTTCTTTTCATTTCCTCAGTTTATACATTGCTTAACAATTGCTGGGTTTCAGGTGGTTTCCAATTGATGGAGAATTACACATAGACACATACCTGTGCATACACAAACTTATAAATTCTCATTTTGGTCAAGCATGTAAACACGGAAACTCGGTATTTCCTCAGAGCAGTTGTGGAGGTGAGATCACAGTGTGACCATTGTTGTCCTTCCAGCCCACACAGTGGCTGCTGACTGTCTCCACGCCAGTAAAGTCCCCCCAGAGATGAGACAACTGCCAAACCCCAGCTGCATTTCAGCTACCCCGCTGCCCTTTCATACCGGCGCCGGTTAACACACATCTGGAACAACTCAACCAAACCATCTGTGCTTCTCCTCTGAAGGGAATGGTTATAAACACAGGGCCTCGCTGGGTTTTGAACTGAATTCAGCATCAGCACAGGCTCATTGCATCCGGAAGGAGAAAACAGTCGGTGTCCAGGGATCCCCGAGCTACAGCTGTGTCTCCAGCTCTCCTGAGCCCAGGAGGGTGGTTTCCCACCCAAGCCCCTCATACACATAAACAAATAATAAAAGAACAAGAGACAGGATAAGAAAACTGGCAAAAAACACGAATCCACAATTCACAGAAAAAGAAATGTAAATACCTGGTGTGTTGAATGTCTAACCTCAGTAATGATTAAAGAAATAAAAATTCAAACAATAGTGTCAGTTTTTACTTAATCAGTTAACAAAGATGAATAAGTTCCGTGGCATTTAAGGTTGTCAAGGGTGTGGAGGAACAGAGGTCACGTATGAACATTGTTGCTGGGAGTGTACATTGGTACAAGCCATTTGGAGGCTATTTGTAATTATGAGATTTTTAAACATGCATTTAAATTTATTTAACATCAGCACGTATTTTATAATAACAAGTTTGAAAAACTGCATGTAAGGTTGTCAAAAACATGTTAGTTTCAGTCTAAAATTCCTAGAGATTACATAAATTAAGTCCATGCCCATCAATCAAGTATACAAACATTCTAAGATGTTCTTTTTTTTTCTTTTTTATTGAAGTATAGTTGATTTACAATATTGTCTTACAGGACAATATTGTCTGCTCTGGGGAGCAGACTCACAGACATAGAAGACAGACTTAGGGTTACCAAAGGGGAGAGGGAGTTGGGGAGGGACAAATTAGGAGTATGGGATTAACAGATACAGACTACTAAAGTAATTTTATAGAACTGAAAGCCTTGAAACAATTGACCATTGAGGCTGGAGTCTTCTTTGAATTGGACATTACCACCTGTTTCAGACTGAGTTATGTCCCCTCCCCCCACCTCCCAATTCATATGTTGAAGCCCTAACCCCCAATGTGAGGGTATTTAGAGATAGGGCCTTTGGGAGATAATTAGGATTAGATGAGCTCACGAGGATAGGGCCCTTGTGATGGGATTAGTGCCCTTATAAGATGAGACAACAGAAAGTACTTGAGCCCTCTCCCTCTGTCTCTGTTTCTCTCTCTCTCATGAGAGGACACCGTGAGAAGGTGCAAGCCAGGAAGAGAGTCCTCACTAGAACTCGACCATGCTGACACCATGATCTTGGACTTCTAGCCTCTAGAACTGTGAGAAAATAAACTTCTATTGTTTAAGCCGCTCAGTCTATGGTATTTTGTTATGGCAGCCCAAGCAGACTAATACACCAAGTTTGGCAGCTGTAACGCTGAATGAAGCCTTGTACTGTGGGGTGCTGTTGCCCTGGAAACCAGATAAGTCATGTTCAGGGGGCCCCATGGTTCATGGGGCCATTAAGGCTCACTGGTCAGGTCACATCCTGAGTGTGAAGATTATTCTTTGGAAGGAGAAAGTCTTAGTCTGCTCGGGCTACTATAACAAAATACCATAACCTGGGTGACTTAAACAACAGAAATTTATTTCTCACAGCTCTGGAGGCTAGGAAGTCCAAGATCAAGGTGCTGGCCATTTCAGTTCCTAGTGAGGGATCCTCCTGGTCTGGATACCTTCTTCCTCTATCCTTATATGGTGGAGAGAGAGATCATCTCTCAGGTGTCTCTTCTTTAAGGGCACTAATCCCAATTATGAGGACTCCACACTCATGTCTTAATTACTTCCCAAAGGTTCCACTTCTAAATACTATCACATTGGGGATTAGGGCTTCAATATGAATTTTGGGAGGACACAAACAGCCCATGTCAGGGAAGGACTTATTGTATATATAGGGGTGGGGATTACAGGGTCGTGAGTTAAGATGCTCATTTGTTGTTTCCTTTTAGTTTTACGAGGCTTTTGTTTTACCAAAAAATAGAAAATATACTTCTATTGAAATTATTTTTTATACTTTTCAATGGGTTCTTATGTTCTTAAAATATTAAGAACGTGGAATAGTTGTGTATAAAAGCAGTGTAGAATTCAGGAGAAAATTAACTCAGAGTTAACTAACAAATGTATCAACATCCCTGTGTTTTGAAAACAGTTTAGTTATTTTTCAGCTATAAGCAATGAATGAAAAAGCCTCTTTTCTTTAGGAGCCAAATCTTGGAAGCACTTTGAATAAGAATTTCAAATATAAAGCATGTGAAAAAATATATATAAAGCATGAGTTTGGATCAATCTGTGGATGTTATATCAGGGTTTTATGGGACTAATAAATAACACTCCTGTTTCTCCAATTTGAGAACCAACTGAAAAGTAGATACAAGATTCACACAAATGGAGGATAAACCATTAATTTTATTATTGATAAAAGCAGAATTGGAGCATGTGGCTCTAGATTATGACCAAAAGGACTTAATATTGTTCTATCTCTGAGTTACACAGACTAATCCATCCTGTAGTGTACCCTACCCAGGAGAGCCTGCTCTACACAGCAGGGAAGAGAATGTGGGCATCTTATAGGAAAGTTGACTTCTAAAGAGACCCAGAAGGGGCTGAGACAGCCATACTCATTTGCCTCATGGGAATGAGGGAATGAGTGGGAAGAAAGGCCCCCAAATCATTCTAATTATCAACATTTCTCAAAGTGTGGTTCAGAGATTCCTGGGGAAGTCCTTTCTAGGAGTCTATAGGGTCAAAACCATTTTCATAATACTAATAGTATTGATGAAATTGGTGATAAATTTAATAGATGTAAGTTTTTAATTGAGATATAGTTGATATACAATACTGTATAAGTTATAGGTGTACAACATAATAATTCACAATTTTTAAATGTTATATACTCCATTTATGGTTATAAAATATTGGCTATATTTCCTGTGTTGTACAATATATTCTTGTAGCTTATTTTGTACATAATAGTTTGTGTCTCTTAATCCCCTGTCCCTGTCTTGCCCATCCTTCATTCCCTCTCCCCACTGGTAACCACTAGTTTGTTATCTATATCTGTGTCTGTTTCTTTTTTGTTATATTCACTAGTTTGTTGTATTTTTTAGATTACATATATAAGTGACATCATATAGTATTTGTCTTTCTCTGACTTATTTCATTATGCATAATACACTCCAAGTCCATTCATGTTGTTGCAAATGGTAAAATTTCACTCTTTTTTATGGCTGAGTAGTATTCTATTGTGTGTGTGTGTGTGTGTGTGTGTGTGTGTGTGTGTGTGTGTGTGT